ATGTCCACTCCACAGTCCCTTTTCCTTTATTCTTTTCTCAAGCTTTTGGCCATGCCTGCACGCTCATACCCCAGGGACTGGAATTCAGACCACACAGTTGGCCATGTGTGATCTAGCTGCCTTAACCACTATGTCACCTGGCTGGCCTTGGCGCTACCACTTCTAAGTTGTGTAATCTCGTGCATGTTAGCATCTCAAAGCTCAGGCTTTTCCTTTATGAATACTAATATTGTTCTCCTTGAATATTAATTTCTTTGGATTTTTAGAAATACTTTGAATAGTTCTTGGTACCAGCAGATGGCTTACTAGTTATGTTGCTGGACTCCCACATGGCCAACCATGGTTTAAGTCTTGGACCCACTGACTTGAAATTCAGCCAGGCACATGTGTGTGTGTACCCAAAATCCTGAGGGGAGAATGAAGGAGAAGAGATTGCAGTGTGGCCATCCGCCCCCCGGGGAGGGTGATTTCTCATTTTCTGTCTCTATGTCTCTCTCTCTCTCTGTATCTTTGGTGAGTGCATGTATCCTATAGAAAAAAATATCTCTTAAAAAAAAAAAAAGAAATGCATAATATAGTCTGGTTTTTTTTTTTTTTTTTTTTTTTTTTTTTTTTTTTTACACAGTGAGTAACACAGTCAACTTTTACACACACAGGTGTGTGTGTAGCTTCTATTTCCTGTTTGCTTTCATGTATGGAATTCCTCTGGTTGCATAAAGGTTTTGAAAGTGCCGATTCTGACTAGGCTAAATTTTCTCTTGTTTTCATTGACTGGAGTCTCACAGAGGCATGCTCATCTTCAAGGGATATTTACTTATATTTTGAAGTTTACATTTTTCTCTCCCTCCTTCAATTTCATATGATAAGCCCCGAGGTGATGGATTGAAATTTTGGGAACCTCATGTGCCTCTGGGTCTCTACGCTGGAAAACTTCAAGTGCTGCTAAGTGATATGGCGAGGTGTAATCTGATTGGATTTGTGTAGCGCAGTCCACTTAAGTGACAGCCCCAGCCACAGATAACAGCACCCTGGTGTAGAATAGACCACGAAAACCCCAGCATTTGCCATGCATTGGCAGCAGTACTTAAAAGGCAACATAAAACACAGATATATGCTGGAAAAGATAAGTGTGGGAAGAGGAACTGCCTTATCGTCAGAACAATTGAGAAATGTGTGAGAGTAAGAGCAGGAAATGGGAGTCAGAATCAGAAGGGCTCCCCAAAGGCTGCTCCTGAAGGCGCTGGCAGTAGGCTTCAGGAAGCCCTAAGGGGTTGCCAGTAGCAACAGTGATTGTGGGGGCTCCCCTTCTTCCTTTAGGAGAGACTGGACAAATAAGATAGAAGGATGAATAGAGGGATGGGTGTGTTTTCTTAAGGTCTCTATTTGGTGCTTTGGAGGGACCAGAACTGTCCTTGCTACCTGGGTGGATCTCTTGGTATTTCATCTGACTGCTAGTTAGATCCTTGATTGACTGATTGACATCGTCTCCTTATGTCACCATCCTCTTGCCTCAGCCTCTGAGTAGGTGGGTCTACAGGTATGCCCAGGCAAATCCAGTTTTTAGGATGGGGCAGGAATTGAACCCACTTCTCCTGTGTGGCCTCAGCCTACCCAGTAGGAGCATCATAAGCACATGCCGTGGCAGGTGGGCTGCGAGGAGATTCTTGCTGGGCGAAGTCTTGTACACTTGCTACACTTGCACAGTGTAGCTCCATGCTAAGGTTGCAGCTTATGGTTCCCCTGGTTCAGTGGATGTGCATGTCCTAGAGAAAAGGAGAGATTTTCTTGTCAGTTATACTTAAATCAATATAACTGTTCTCATCTCCTCATCGGTGACACGTTTCTTGAATGGAAAATAGTTTGTCATTTCTGAGGCCTCTGAATCCCAGGTGAAATACATTCCTCTGGTTCCCCCCAAAACTCCCAGAGAAATGGAGGTATTCTTTCTTAGGAGCCACAAGTGGAAGAACAGGCTAGTTTAGAATTCTGACATTGCCAGACTCCTGCTGTACTGCACATGTTCATTTATTTATATCCAGATCAGACAAGCACCCTCCCCCAATGTCATTCATCTGTCAAAATATAATAAATCAGGTCTGGATCCCTCTCTCAATGAGCTGACAGTCTAGTAGGGGAGATGAGAACAATTATTGCACTACATAGAATGCAAAATAGGAGGTATTAAGTGCCATGAGGAAAAGAGCTTAAATGAGATGGGCATTCAGGAGGGGCAGTCCAGAACTATTCGGAGGAGGTCATACTGCTTCTGAACTTTCAAAGATTTTCTGAAAGGCTGAGAGTGGTGGAATGGAGAGGGGTGAAGGACACTGCAGCTGGAGAGTGCTGCATGGATATCGTGTGGAGTCTGCAGGCGAGTAGTGGGAGCTATTGCAGACCACCTGGGCTGGAGGTGACAGAGGCCTAATCCAGAAGTGAGGGGAAGAATTATATTATTATGGAACTAGGGCCAGCTCTAGGACCTGCTGGTGAAGGCGACTAGATCCCACATGGTCAACTGTGCAGTGTGAGTCATGGACCCAGAGGCTTGAGAAAACACTGGGCGTGTGTGCATGCAGGCCCACGGTCCTAGAAGGAGGGGGACATAGAGGAGAAGGGATTGTGGTGTGACTGTGCCCTTGTAGGGGGTACTTTTTCCTCTCCTTCTTTCTCTCTCTGTCTTTCTCTGGTGAGTGTTACGCACCCTCTAACAAGACAAAATAGATGTTACAGAACCACCTTCTTGGTCGTGAGTGGCAAAGATGAGAGAGAAGTCCAAGTTGCTGCAAACGTCTGAGCTTGGATGTTCAGGAGCCCATCACAAGAGTAATGAACAAAGGAGGGAGAGAGGAAAGAGCATGAGGAGTTCACTCAAAACAGTGACCCTGCTGAATCTGTGGTGCCCAGGAGGACTTCCAGACGGATGTGTCTAACAGGTCACTGGCTACGTTAGTGCAGGTCTGAACCCAGAGAAGGGGCTTGGGAGTCATTTTTTTTTTTTTTTTTCATAGCTGGGAAAAAAAAAATCTGTGAGCTTGCCAAAAGAGAATAAAGGATGTAAGGTTACATTCTTGGAGATCATCTTCACCTTTGGGAAGAGGGAGAGAAAAAGCCAGGAAACATTATCGCAGAAAAAGTGGTCTGAGGGAAGAAAATGGGAGAAGAAAAAAAAGAACCATAAGGCGACAGTTGAAAGGATCCAAGAGGGGTCAGAAAAACTGAGGACTGACATAAGGCCATTGGATATGGCAATTAGGAGGTCATGATGGGGGCCAGCAGGTGGCATGGTGGTTATGACACTGGGTCCCACATGGCCAGCAACGTGGTTCGTGGACCCAGCAGCATGTGAATCATGCTGGGTACATGCACGTGTGTGCCCAAAAGAGGAGGCTGGAGAAGAAAAGATTGCCGTGTGGTTGTCCCCCCCTCCCCCCCCGGGGATGTTTTCTAACTTTTCCTTTCTCTTTCTGGTGAGTGAACATGCCCTATAGGAAAAATTAAAAACAAAACAAAAACACTACGAACAAACAAGAGGTCGTGATGATCTTGGAGAGGGCTGTCTTATTAGAATAGGAACAAAAGCCATGTAATGGGTCGTAATGAAATAAAAACAGCACACAGAAATTGTGCTTTCAAAAATATTTGCTGGTAAACTTGGGACATAGCCAAGATCCAAGGAAATGAAAAAGAACAAAATGGCAGGGAGAAAACTGGTGGAATAAAGGCTGGCAAGGACAGCTCCTTCTCTAACAGGTGGCGTTGGGTGGGGAGAAGGCTGGAGGGTAGAGATAGTCCAGGTGGACAGGAAGCTGAGGCGTTCACACGGGACTGCCCCCTCTGCCCGGCTGAGTGAGCGTACAGCATCTGCAGTGGAGGGTGAGTCCTGTGCTGGAGGAGAATGGAGAAGGTCTCGGACAAAGAAGTGGAAGTGAAGGGAATGCTGAGCCTTGGCAGAATGCACTTGTGGTTAGGTAATGTGATTCGTAGTGGAACTTGTTGTCCCAGTTTTGTGACTTTCCTCATAAACTCTTGGCAATTAAGGAGGACAAAATGTGGATATTGTGCTGTGCTCAGATGGGCAAATGAGATAGAAGGGAAGTGGGCCAAGTTAGCCTGTGAACTGAGAGTGGGAACAGTGGGTTTGACCACATGCAGGGTTTCTGGGGGCACGGAGCGAGCGAGGCAGCGGTCAGCATGTCCCCTTTGCAGCAACAGCACTGTCAAGAACAATAATGAGGACAGCTGATCATTGCGTCAAAATGAAATGGGATAGAAAGAGTGGATGTGTCTTCTCAACTAGTAAAAATAAGCCATTTCCCCTTTCTTCCTCAAATTAAATAGAATCTCAAAGAAGCTAAGACAGGCGCATTCCAGGGAATGATAGAAGATGGCCCCTGAGAAGCAAGGGGGTGAAGAAGAAGAGAAGGTCTAAACAGGTGGTTTGAGGAAGGAAAGA